GCAGACTCACACTCAACATTCCGCGAAAATGTTGACTATCCCCCATCCCAATCATCCCCATCAACCGCAGCAGGAAGGCACCAGTGGCCGTGCAATGGGAGCAACAGGACTGCAGCCGCCGCCGCCAGGATCGGCGGATGTTCGGCGACCCAAGCCACTGCGCAAGGAATGGCTGATCCCGCGGGGATCGCTCCCCCTGCCTCAAAGATCCTAGACCGGTGTGAATGCGCACATAGCTCCTATGTTCTTGCTACGGTGCGCTACGTAGACTCGTGGACGTGTGTCAGGTGCAGAGACATGCGTGTTATGAATCCAGCATCAAGATTCTTTCTTCATCAGCGGGGCCCTCATAACCATCGAGAACCCCAACAGAAGCTGGCTTTGGCCGATCCTGGCTCTTCTTGTCAAAAAGCGTGGTCCTCAATCATTCGTGAACTGGTTCTTCAAATTGCAGGACTACGTCTTCGATTCTTGTATGTTTGGGGCCAAGAGACAGAAAAGCACGCGAATCGGGGGGTCGCCTAACGTTTTTCAGGGCTTAGATCTGCCGTGCGATTCTTCCCACGTGCATCTGGGTTGGGGATCATGGGTTTATCCAACAAGGATGAGGCCGCCCACCCTCCGGCTCTGTGCACTTTCCTGTGTAAGGCCGCCGCTCTGCAAAACCCGAGTCATCCAGTCCCTGCCATTAAGGCGTCCATGCTCATGAGAGCGCAAGTGCGGGCTTCCGCGTCGGTTCAAACAAAGCATGCTGTCCCGCTCTGTCGCGACACCTACACAGTGTACAGCAACAAGTAACACGGCTCGCTAAGGAAGTGCAGAGAATTGCTGACAGGCAAAATCAGATAGCTGATGAGATACTCATGTTCCACGACAGAGTGGACAACTTAGAGTACTGTAATAGAGGCCACTTTCAACATTTCATTTCGACCCGAATTGCGGTCGAAATCGCAGTACAGCGAATTCTCTCAACTGAGGCGTCAATTCGAAATCTCCAAAGAACTAACATAGAAACTCGATTCCAGATCTTAGAGGCCACCTGTGAGCACCTGCAGGTAACGAGCAATAGGCTCGTGCGAAGGATTGCTGAGTTTGAAAGGCTTCTCGACCTTCACAGGATCTCGTGAAGCGGAGACACGGTCTCAGCCTGAGCGCTGTGCTTTTCAGTTTTTGAAGACCTAGACTTATACCAGGGCCTGCAAGGAGGTCTCAAGGGTATCTGCACGGGTGCCCAGCTCAGAGAGTTGCAAAAGAAGTTCGTTCATAAAGCTCGGCCAGGCCGCAGACTTAGGCCGAACCTGTGAGGAAGTTCAGCGTGGACCGTTAGCACAGCAGACCAAGTCTCCAAACAGTGGTTGAACCTGTTGTTGTTTCGCAGTGGGAGCATGTACCGAACGTTTTCAGTGAAGTTGGAGGCTTGGCAAAAGATTGAGAAAGAGAAGCAGTCTTCTGCAGGTTTGCGACCCTTCTGGACAAAAGAGTCTGCTCGATTTGATTGCATAACAAATATTGATTTATATGGAAAGTTTTGAGTTTTCTATTGAACATTTTCTTTGAACATTTTGCGGGTCCGGTCGACGGATACGGCTTTTGTTTTTGCCTCAAGCCGTGACCTGCGAGTAACGCGGGCAGCAAAAGGGTTTGTCGCGCGTGCTGTGCTTGCTCTGAGGTTGTTGAGTAGTGAAGGAACGTGCTTGCTTTGCACAAGAATATATGAATGAAAAAGCCTTCCTTTCGAGGATGCTCCGCGCAGCAGCGCGATTTTGAACGAATTGTCAACGAAATCTTCCGAATGCACCGCACGGGAGCGCGATTTTCTTCAAAGTTTTCAGGATGCTCCGCACAGGAGCGCGGTTTTACTCAGCAGCCCAGTCTAAAAATTTGTATAGGATCCATTGACTTAACCATCAGCTTTTGAACAACGGAGTCGACGAATTTTATACTGAAGCTATACCGGAGCGTTCCAATAACCAAGAAAACCATCTCGAGCGAAGTACGCCGGGATTCGTTCGGTATAGAATTGGTATAGGATTTCTCGACATCATCGTTCATAGATGATGGAAATTTTCCGAATGCTCCTCACGGGAGCGTCATGTTGATAGAAGTTGATGAAGATAAATCGACAAAATTTCGAGGATGCTCCGCACGGGAGCACGGTTTTAGAAGACATAACGACGATAAAAACGCAAAAAAAAAACGATTGTCGCGAGCATTTTTGAGTAGACAAAATGTGGAGTTAAGAGGATGTTTCGCACGGGAGCGCGATTTTCGAAAATCGGCGCGCGACCCGTTCGGGTGCAGACGGTGCAGACCCTTGTAGCAAGGCCATTTTAAAGGCAGAGGGGCCGGTTTTAGGTCGAGAGTCAACATAGCAAGACGATTTTTTGAAGATGCTCCGAGCGCAAGCGCGATCTTGGAGCGAAAGTAGGGACGTGAATGTGGAGTAAAAATATTAGATAGCTGTTATCGGGGAAACGCCATGCTTGCCGAGAGTCCATGAATATCTTGTCAAAAGTTTTCACAAGCCCGCATCGCCCGCAGCCTTGCTGCCCGCAGCTTCAAAGTGGTTCGATGCCACAGGATATGATGGGGGCCCCGTACGTATCAATGAAACCTTCAGATATCCCAGAAGTCCGCAAGGCTGTTTTTGTCAACGCATCGGAAACCCCTTATGTTTTGTAAACGATGTGTGACTGTTTTGGGGCGCGCTTGGCAACGGCAGCTCATCATTTTGTTTCAGGCTCATGGACATGTCTTGCCATGAAGGTCAACCCGCAGAACAACACATATTCACCATCCGAACAATATTCGCAAACAACCAGATAGCCACCAACTTTAGCTTCGTGCTCCCAACTGTTGCCGGCCATGGATTTAAATTCTTTGGATGCAAGAGCTTCATCGCAGCTCCGGAATGCATTTCGGCCCACATTTGGCACTTGAACAAAGCTTCAGTTAGAAGATGTGAGTTCAGAATCGGGGGCGTATCCAACTGCACACGCGTCTGAAATTTTAGTTTTGGTTGCCTTGTTATTTGGTTGGGTGGGGGGATGAGGAAAACTTGTAATTGTAACGTTGCAGTTTGGGTAATGTAGTTATTCATTTACAGCATGTATATACATATATATATATATTGCGTTGATATCTGGGCATTGTTGGTTTAGTTGATAAATTCCATTGCCAATTTTTTCCTCATTTCAACATCCAACCCTTCGCTCAGAATCAGAATTGGTGTCGCTGTTCGTTTCCTTGTCACATGTGTATTGATTATGTATGTATGTATGTTGCAGAGACGTCGAATGGATTCGTTCGTTTCCGAGCTTAAGATGAAAATTGGCATGAAATACCTAGGTCTTGGTGGCAGTTCACAAAACCTTGCATTACCAAGTTCCATGTTCAGAGTATTGAGTTCAGCTGCCCTGCTTGTCTTTTGAAAGGGCAGTGAGGACGTCCAGCACCCCAAAAAAACAACGGAAACATGCAACAAATATATGGTATTGTTGGAGCAAGCAGCGATTGGCACCATGTTGTGCGGCATGAGCACGAATGGTTAGCCTAAAGCTACACAACGCGTGGTTTTGGACATGAAAAACGGGTTGCGAAGCTGCGAGGGAACAAGAATTCACGATAAACCGACTCTGGAAAAGGTGATCGCAGATGGCTTTGGGGATGGAGACACATTCAGGGTTGTTACCCAGCATTGAATTCCCCAATCCCAAGCCGCAATGGAACCAAAGCCCGGACAGCAGGCTATTGCGATTGTTCAACTGCCTATCCTCGGCGTCATTTTTTGCCAGCTTCTGGGCATGCAAAGTACGGATTCATTAGCGGGTTATTGAATCATCGTTTGCGTGCCTGAGGCTGGGACTTCATCGGATCTTCATGGATTGTGTCAATGGTTGCAACCCATTCAAAGAGACTGCCAAACAGAACACCAAGCTCGGGACCAGCCCAGTGAACGTGCTATGGGACTTGTGACAGTGTTGTCTTAGATGCACAGCGCTGCATACTCTTGTTAGTTTGGGAGTCATTTGTTGAAAAAAATCTGCCGTGGTCAGAACTGTCTGGAGCGTCTGCCAGGACGCTGTTGTGGCAAGGCCGGGCCAGGGTAGCCTTCACTGGCATTGGCACTGGGGTCTGCGGGATGATTCCTATGGCTTGGAGCCAGGCGGGAGCTTCTCAGGAAATTCTTAGACGGCAGGGTTAGGCAACACAAGCTGGGCATGGGAATTTTTGTGCATGCCACGCGCATGCGATATGTCCGTCGCCAATGTTTAGGATGTGTCTCATGCCATCGGCCTTCGGCGTAGCCTCGGCTTGGTGCAGGTCATTTGGCCAGCTTGGATTCCAGGGTACGTTCCGATCCCAGACCTCCGCCATGATGTGTCTTTGACTTTGCTGCAGGTGCACCAGGGTATTTGCAGCTCAATGCATGCAGTGGTCAACAGCCTAAGTAAGCCTAATGCCTCTTGACAGTTGGTTCTCCTCACGAGCCTGGTGATGTTGAAATGCAAAAGCACGACCCTGGGCACTGTTTACAACAAAGTTTTGTGTTGTTTTCGGGATGACGGATTCCTGAGAGTGATTGCGGCATGATGCGTTGTCTTGAATGCAGGTGGTAGGAGTTCCAGGGCGTACAGATGGGATAAATGAGGTAAGTCTAGCAGGACGCTTATTCAGCTCGCCGATATCTTTTTCAGACAAACACAGGAGCCAGCTTCTGCTCAACGCATTCTACATCCTTGTCTCCATCATGACAGCCTTGCTGCTGTCCCCAATCTTTCTGGAGACTGACATGCTGCCACACACACGGGTCACGGTCCTGGCTTTATCCTGGGTCTTGCGGCTTAGTCTTGTCTCCATGACAGACTCTGTGCTTTTGGTCTTGCTGTGCAACCTCACATGCAAACTGGTCTTGTTAGCATTTTTTCTTTCCATGTCCATTTGCTAGGCTGCTAGTATTGCTACTGTACGTACTTCCTTGGAGTTGTACGGGCATTGAGGTCACTTGGCATTCGTCTGGTCTGCAGAAACGAGAGTCCAGCAAGGCTTACGGTGGGACTTCGACGAGGAGACTTGTACCAACAGTAGGGTTTACACTTAGCTTGAGCGTAGCCGGAACAGACTCTCGCACGTCTGGCCTCTCAGGCCTTTTTTGCGCCATTCGGACCTCAAATGGATGCCATCCTGGAGGTGCGAGAAAACATCAGTTGAGGACTTCAGCCCTCTTCTGATTTAGCCATTTGAGCTGCCTTGGCCTTTCCCAGGTGGTGCGACAACGCGACCAAGTGGTCTATGGAGCCTGGGCTTTGGATTCAAGCACTGTTCTGTCTCCAAGTGGACGTGGCGCATTTGCAGTCATTTGAACTGAGGAAGTGTGATGTTCAACTTCAGGTTCTTGGACCTTGGTTTCTGCTTCACGGCTTGCTTCGTCTGCGGCTGGTTCGGGCAAGCCTTACGCAACCTTGTTGCCCAGGCCACCGAAACAGCAGGATGCTCAACTGAGCCCAGACTAAGCCCTTAGGCTTAGCCCTCAAGCCGAAGGCCTCCTTAGGCACGAAGAGTGACATGCAAAAGCCCCAACAGCCAGAGACCCCCCAAAAGTTTTAACCCTATATCTAAGACTGTATCGTGACTGTTTTTGGGCTGAGCCCCCTGCAACACCGCTACCTTTATCGATAGCACCCCTCAACTTGTCAATGGCATCGGATGATACAAGGAGTTTTGGCAAGCGCTCGTGTGCACTCATTCGTGTCGAGCAGTATATCGAGCAGTTTTGGAGCATCGAAGGGATGGCGCAGCGACCTGCTAAGGTGTTCAAATGGAGAGCCAAGCCTGTGCTTCACTGCTGTCGACCATTTGTGATGCTCACGTGTAGCTTGGCCGCTGCAAGAGAGAGCCTCCTGTCGACCTGTTTGTGGTCAATATGAGGTATTATATAAGACATCGTACTGATAAAGTCTAATATTTGAGGATTATCGTGTTTGAGTGCTTCAAAAGGACCAGACAAAGGGACTTGATTTTCAGGATCTGTCTAGGACCGCGAAATCAAGAAGCTGATTGCTATGAAGCATTCATACCAGCGCTTTTAGTGCTTCGGTATCCAGTGATCACTTGAGAAGGGCAAGGGTAGCGCAAAACTTTGCCCAACACAATTTAGCTCGAAATGCTGCTTTCCTGAGGTTCCTAGACTCCAACCTACGTTTGGTGAAGGCCGCTGGGCTGGATCCAAGATGTTTGCTGCCATTTGGCTTTGTAGCTTTTGTCTGTTTCTGCAGTTGTTTTGATACCCAAGCTCTTAGGTGTTTGCGCTTGCGTGTCATGAGCATGTCTCTTACATGGTGCTAGCTTGTCTTTGACACTCTGGCATTGTTTAAATTGGTCGCGTGGTCGGTCATCTTCAAAAAGGAGAGGTGTTGAAAGCAGAATAACCGATTTGGCCAGAGTTTTCCCTTCATGAGAGCATCGGAGTGGAAGGGCTATTTTGGGTAGGATTTTTGGCAAGGCTTGAGCCTCCTAACAGCATCCTTCCGCCGCCTGAGGATGAACCCTCTCTGGCGGCGATGCTGCTACGCTCGCAGAGGATCTGCTAGGGCTCTTTGGGATTTGGTATTCGAAGGGTTGTGTGCCCTGCATCGATCTCGTCAGAGGGGCCTGTGCGAAGCCAGGGACCAGCAACCAATACCGGGTAAGTATTTATGCAACATGCTGAATTTGAACTCTGCGATTATCGACCGCTTTCAACAATTGTAGCATTTTGCTTGCCCATACCTTAGGGTGGGCAACACAGATTATTCTCATTCTCGCAAGCCCGAGCAACACATGAAACATCAAGTCCTGGTATACACAAACTGCAGCATGGCAACATGGTCTCTTTGGATCATCCGCAGAGCAAGATGACCGGCAGGAACAAGGACACTGAGTTTGTGAAGCTTCTGGCCTCACCAGAAGATCAGCAGCGTTTCGAGGGCCTGACCTCAAGGTTGGCAATAGGATGCAAGATTTTGGGGCTAGGATGGGGGATGATAGCAATATCTTGCCAGCATGTCGGAGTAGCTCAAACCTTGTGATCCTTTTGCTGTCCTTGTAAATGTGTACGGAGATGTACTGTGTATATCTATGTATGTACGTATGTACTAAATTAATGTATGTATGTATGTATGTATGTATGTATGTATGTACGTATGTACGTACGTACGCACGCACGTATGTACGTACGCACGTATGTATGTACGTACGTATGTATGTAGGTAGGTATTTATGTATGCATGTTTCTGAAGGTATGTAGCCAGGTAGGCATGTATGCATGTATGTATGTGTGTAGGTTGATTGCTTTGTAGTTACCATCGCGCTTTACAAGCAGGATTTCTGACTGGTTTTATGTGCATGCGCAGGATGGGAATGGTAACAATGATGATCGATATGTCAGTGATTGTTAGTTAGCGCAATTTCGCTTTGCGAATAAATCAGTGCTGTCACTGTTATGCGTGTCAGCGTTTCCATCGTTTCAATTCCGCAATTATCATCCTTTGTAGCGCCACTGTTCCTGTTTCTATGTGTCGTTGGCTTATTTGTGTTTTTTCATTGTCCTGCGCCCTCCTCTTCTTTGGATGCTTTCTTCTTGCAGTTGGATCCTGCCTGTTACGTTGCAAGCTCTGGATTTTTGCACGGCCCCCTTGACTCTTTACCTTCATGAACAAACTTAGTGGTCCTCAAAACAGCTGGTTTTGACTGGAGGCCGCAAGACAAGTCTGCTCTCGCGCATGCTGTGCACCTTTCTATGCGGGACGGCGTTGGTAACGTGGTTCCCGTTGAGGTTTTCCATGTCCGCACAGAAGAAGCTCGGCAAGAAATTTCCCCCCACTTTCGCTAAGTTGCCTGCGTTGCCTGCGTTGCTTTCGACTTCAACCGAGGACGTGGACAATCAGCCGCGACATTTGGTGGGCATCCGGGAGTACAGCGAGGAGCTGCGGCCCCAGCCAAGCTTTGGCTCGAGCTTCGTCGGCAGCCTGAGCTTCACTTCGCAAGCACCGCAAGCGCCGCCTTCTGCGCTGCAGACGGCTGTCAGGAACGGCCAGGCCAAGTTCAGAGAGATTCGGTGAGGCTTCAAAGTGCAGAGCTTGTGCAGCTTGTGGAAGGCCAGCGACTCCGACGAGTCTTCCAATGAAACTGCAGGCTCCAAGCACAGTTTGGAAGAGGCCTGGGTCCTCATTGAAGCTTGGATGTGCACCTATCATGGTAGTGAATGGAAGGGTATTCTCTTACTAGCTTGACCCGATCATATCCCAGGACGCCACCTCTGGACTGCAGATTCTAGGCTGGGATAGGGTAGTAGGTTATGCAGGGCTGTGTGCGTGGACAGAGCAAAGATGGGTGTGGCTCGTTATGACCCGTTTCTCGGATCCCGTCACCCGCCAGTGGTCGTGCTTCTGTGCAGCAGCTTCTCTCTCTCTCTACTCTTTTCTTGAAGCGTTTTCCGCGCGGAATATTGAAACACATCATGTCAGACCCATCAGAGGAACAAGTAACTCTCCGTAAAATATTGAAGCGGCAGGAGAGTTTTGAGCTGCCCAGAAGCTTGCAGACGAAGGTGATATGCCACATGCCTTGCTTGGGAAGGTGCTTCCAGCGTGTTCGTGGAGAAGACCAGCGTGGAGTTCAATGACAGTTCCCACTTTCTGGATATCGTGGCAGATGATGAGCGCAGCTTCTTCATGTCCGTTGCCGGCTCAGTTGGAAAAGTACATCAAATCTTTGTAGCTGGAAGCACCCACTGAGTCGAAAGAGGCCTTCCTACAGAAGTTCGAAGCAGCGGCAGCGGAGAGGACCGGCGAGTTCCTCCTCTCCTTCACTGCAGCACTTCCTGAGGGTCCCTGCAGGACAAGGCCTGGTGCTCTTCACACTGAGCTTTTAACACGCTCTCAGAGACGGCGCGTGCTTTTTGCTTTCTCAGGTGGAGGTTCAGGCCCGAGATGCATGGCGAGATGTTCTTGGTCCGCGGAGTACTCCGGCGACTCAAAAAGATATCCAAGCTGAAGACGCTTGACTTTAGCTTGCACCAGTCGCAGGTTACCTGCTGTCCATACAAGGTTGAGTTGTCACGACACAGGTATCTGAAAGCTTGGATAGTTCTAGCTCTGCATATTCTGAGGTAGTGTACGCTTCACTTTCCACATCTAAAAGCCGCAAACTCACACAGAAAAAGCACGCAACCTGCCCAGATCAGGATCAAGGGCCCTCGCGGGCGGCGCCTGAAGGAGTCGGGCTCGTTTCGCTTGGAGCCATTGCCCGAGTTTGTTGGGCGGCCGCTCACAAGAGAAACCCTCTGATGCTGAGCATAGAGGGAAGCCGCACTGCATGCAATTTCAGTGAGAGCCTCCAAGACCCTAAGTATACATAAGTGGAGTTCACGCAGACATGCAGTAGCCCTGACATCTGAGCTGATGTGCGGCCTGTATCAAGACAGTCTTGACAAAATGGAACCACTGTGCACCACACCACTCTGCTACCGAGAGGATGAGAATCATCCCCGGCATCCCGGCAAAAACCAGTGCGCGTTTTTCCTGACACGCCACGTAGCTGGCGTCAGCCAGCGTAGCTAGGTTGCTATCACCTGCTCTTGGCAGGGATGGATTCTTCGTTCCCTGCCAATGTCTCTCCACGGCACAGACTAACCCCCAAATGGTGGGATCTTGCCGAGGTGGCGGTTTGGGAGAGAAAGAGAGCTTCTGGGTGGACCGTTCAGCTGATTCAGGCTTTGTTGCAACGAACATCTCAGAAGTTTTGGATTTAGGCTTTGGGTGCTTTAGGGTCAGTCTTGCGCTCCCGATTCGATGCTCTCAAATCTAGAACCACGAAAGCTTAGACTTGGGGAATCATGGGCTGAGGTCAGCGTTTTGCTAGGCTTTGGGATGATAACTCCTTCAAACTCTCCCAACTTCTAAGTTACTTGAAGGTATCTGAAGGTGATGTCAGCAGGGCAGGGGCACACACGAGGCATCCTTGCAAAGGAGAATGAGGTGGTTTGGGATGCGGATCGTTCTGGTCTTAGGAGATGTTCTGAGTTTGAGGCAGGGTCAGGCATGGCTACTGACGAAGCCCAGCCGACAGAATACTTGATTTTGCGCGGCTTGCAAGAATCGTGGCTTGCACAACCTAATTAGAGTATGAAGTTCGGGGCTGCAATGTCAAACCTCTTTAGACCTGCGCCGAGGCGCCGAGAAAGAACAATGTCGTCAACGCAACCCTCACCCTGCACCCGCAGGATCTAGGCCCCAAGCCTTGACATTGATCATGCTGCAGCGATACGATGCGATTGTTCCAGTGATTTGGGAATGAGATCATTCCTTCAAACTCTCCAAACTTCTAAGTTACCTGAAGATATCTGAAGGTGATGTCAGCAGGACAGGGGTGGACACAGCATCCCGCATGAAGAGCTCTGTTTGTGTGGGCTTGGGCTCAAGAGTCCCGAAGCTGCGCCATGCTACTTGCGTGTGAAACGCAGCCACCCAAGCCAATGATGCATCATTGGCTTGGGGCGCTCGCAATCTGTAGCCTCCTGCAGCC